TTGGGCACTTTGTATTCAAACGCTTATGGTAATTAGCATGTTTATGATAAATAAATAAATAAAGATAGTACTATGTTTTATTGATCCTTTTCCAAAGCTGAAAGCACTAGCGGTCAGCTGTTGCTATGCTTACCTCCTGAAGCTGTTATAGTCAAACTTTTACCACAGCATTGTTTGAAACAGCGATTGAAATGTTGCTTTTGAGATATGTTGAATTAAAGATGTTTTGTGTGTTTACTTTTTAAGACTCTTTAGAGGAATAGTTCACCCAAAAATGAAAAATTGTCATCCATGGTGTAGATGAGTTTGTTTCTTCATCAGATTTGGAGAAATGTAGCATTACATCACTTGCTCAGCAATGGATGCTCTGCAGTGAATGGGTGCCGTCAGAATGAGAGTCCAAGCAGCTGATAAAAACATCACAATAATCCACACCACTCCGGTCCATCCAGTGAAAAGCTGTGTGTTTGTAATAAACAAATCCATCATTAAGACTTTTAAATGTCGCTTCTGGTCAAAATATGAGTCCATAATCCATAAAAACCTCCTGTGAAAAAGTCCATCCCCTGTTGTCCTCCTCTCACATCAAAACACCAACATATTTGTTTAGAACTGTTTTGGTTTATAAACGGTGCTTGATCTGTGCATATTTCACTCCTGATTCAGACTAGACGACTTTTACACTGCAGGAAGCGTTATTATGGATTATGGACTCATATTTTAGCTGGAAGTTCTCCAAATCTGATGAAGAAACAAACTCATCTACATCTTGGATGACAATTTTTCATTTCTGGGTGAACTATTAATTACCTTTAATAGGGTTCAAACCTTAAATGAGCTTTCAGACGCTAAAACGCACTCCTGCTTGCTGTCGTTTTCATTTCTCCATCTGTTCTCATTCCTTCACCGTTCACACCATCTTCATGGCAGCTGAATGTGTGTGAGTTTAATAAGATCGGACTAACAAGGACACTAACTCATTAACAGATTCAGCCAATCAGTGCTGCATTTAGCTCACAATTAACCAATTACCGACACGATCATGAATATTAATGAGGATCTGTTTCTGAAGATTTTTAACCCCAGTCTCTCTCCCCTCCCGAGCTGACTTCATGTCTGTCTGTCTGTCTGTCTGTCTCTTGTGCTTTGCCTGCTCAGTGTTTTTTAGTCTCCGCTCCGGCTACGTCTGTGTGTCTTCAACAACACGGCCATGATGCTTCCGGCTTTTGAGTAATTTAACCAAGAACAAAAGTGACACCATTGAGAGGATGTTTTCCTGAAACAGATGTGTTGACAGACAGACACTTCGTGGTTTGTGCGTAAAGCTCTCGCCCGACTCAGCTCCGTCCTCAGCCGCTCTCTTTAGACTGGTGGGGATACAGCTGGGAATATGATTTATTTCGTTATTTAGGCACAGTTCACCCAAAAATAACACTTCTGTCCACATCGACTCACCATCGTGTTCTTTTCTGTTGAACACAGAGTTATTTAGAAGAATGTCCAAACTGCTTTTTTTCTGTACAGCGAAAAGCTCCAAAAAGGACACAAAACAACCATTTTAAAGTGATCGGAATGAACACTGCTGTTATGTCTTTGTGATGCTATTTTATTTTATTTTATTATTTTATTTTATTTTATTATTTTACTTTACTTTTATTTTGCTCATCTGGCTGTATTCAAAATGATTTTCAGTGACTAGTGATTTAAATGTCAGTATTCAAATTTTTTTTTTTAATTGATTTATTTATTTGTTGTCCACTTCTAGTTTTATGCAAAAAGTGTTTCATTGAATAGTGATTTTGAATAGTGTATTTCAGTTTTTTTTTTTTTTATGGTGATTTAAATTTCAGTGTTTTGTATTGTTTTATTTTTATTTATTGTTTTATTTTTTTATTGTTTAATTTTTATGGTGCACGTCTGGCTGTATGCAAAAAGATAGTGAATAGCGATTCATTGAATTTTCATTATTTCATTTTATTTTATTCATGATGCCCATCTGGCTGTAAAGCAAAATTATTTTCAGTGAATATCAATTTAAATTTAAGTGTTGTATTTTATTTTGGTGGTCCACTTCTGGCTTATGCAAAAAGAACTTCAGAAGAAAACTTCAACGTTTTTATTTTATTTTATTTTATTTTATTATTTTATTTTATGGTGCATTTTTAGCTGTATGTGAAAATATTTTTTTGTAAATAGTCATTTAAATTTCAGTGTTATTTTTTTATGCCTGCTAATATGTAAAATGTAGCGATTTAAATTTCATTGTTTTATTTTATTTTTGTGTCCCACATCTGTTTTTGTGAACAAAAAAAAAATATTTTTTTTTTATCTTTGTTGTATCCTTCTGGCTCTAAGCATAATATTCTTAGTCAAAAGTTATTTAAATTTCATTATTTTATTATTATTTTATTTTTGTGGTTCACTTCTCGCTTTATGCGCTAAATGTTTTAGTGAAGTGATTTAGATTTCAGACTTTTTCCTCATAAAGCTATCGTTTGACTTCTGAAGGCTCTGAACAGTGCATAGGTCATATGGACTACATTTTGGTGCTTTTATGTGCTTTTTGGAGCTTGACAGCTGTGGTCCCCATCCACTTTCATTGTGGAAAGGGAACATTCTTCCAACTATCTTTCCCATCGAATCAAGAGCAAAGCATCACATTGGCTGTCCCTGCCAGTCTAAAGACAGTCCGATCCTCCCGAATATCTCTCTTTTCCCTCCTGCTCTCTGTTCGACTGTATGTGCCATTTACTGTCTTTTGTCTCTGTTTCTCCCTCCAGCTGTTACTGTGTCTCAGTTTCGTCTGTATCCGTGTGCCGTCTTCATGGCTTTTCTATGTTGTTTTGTTGTGTCTGTCTCAGTCTTTCTGTTTGTATCTGAACTGTGTCTGATCATTTGTCCTCTTCACTTTCTCTGTCTCTCGCTGCTCTTTTGGCCCTCGCTCTGGTTTAGTTAGGTCCTGTCAACTAGTTTAGTTGTTTAGTCAAACATTAAAGGGATGTTTAGGGGTTCAGTACAAATTATGCTCGATTTACAGGATTTGTGGAATGATATCACTTACCACAAAAAATAACCCTAACTTAAATGTCATGTTATCTGCCTACAAAAGTTTTTGATAAAAATATGGGCTTGCTTTCTACTTTTAAACCTTCCACTTTGTTTTATTTTATTTTATTTATTTTATTTTATTTCGTTTTGTTTTATTTTTAAGCCAAAATATGCAAGTCAGAATATTTTTTGTCAATACATATTGTATTGATTTATTTAGTCAAAAATATTTTGTGTGGCAATACACATTTATTTTTTATTATTTTTAAATGAACTGATAAGCCCCCCAAAAAAGTTTTATTTTATTTTATAAATATTTTTCTTTGGCAGTACACTTTTATTTTATTTATTTATTTATTTATTTTTTGTATATAAATGGACCAACAAGCCTTTTTTTCCCTTTAGTAATACACATTTTATTTTATTTCATTTTGTTTTATTTTTAAGCCAAAATATGCAAGTCAGAATATTTTGTCAATACACATTTTATTGATTTATTTAGTCAAAAATATTTTGTGTGGCAATACACATTTTATTTTATTATTTTTAAATGAACTGATGAGCCAAAAAAAGTTTTATTTTATTTTATAAATATTTTTCTTTGGCAGTACACTTTTATTTTATTTATTTATATATTTATTTTTTGTATATAAATGGACCAACAAGCCTTTTTTTCCCTTTAGTAATACACATTTTATTTTATTTCATTTTGTTTTATTTTTAAGCCAAAATATGCAAGTCAGAATATTTTGTCAATACACATTTTATTGATTTATTTAGTCAAAAATATTTTGTGTGGCAATACACATTTTATTTTATTATTTTTAAATGAACTGATGAGCCAAAAAAAGTTTTATTTTATTTTATAAATATTTTTCTTTGGCAGTACACTTTTATTTTATTTATTTATTTATTTTATATATATAAATGGACCAACAAGCCTTTTTCCCCCTTTAGTAATACACATTTTATTTTATTTTTTGTTTTGTTTTGATTTGTTTAAGTGGAGAGATTATCAAAATTGTTTTCTGTGGCTTTAAACCTTTATTTTTATTATTTTATTTTTAACTTTAACGGAGCAATGAATCAGTTATTTATGTTTGTTTGTTTATTGAGAGATGAGTCACACTTATTACTGTGGCTATGTGCATTTTATTTTATTTTTTTATTATTATTATTTTAATGGAGTGGTGAGTCAAAATGATTTTCTGTAGCATTAAATTGCTTTTTTTTTAATCAAAATTATTTTCTGTGGCAGTACACATTCATTTTATTTATTCCTTAAACTGAGTAAAACTTTTTGTGTGTAACAATAAACATTATCTATAATGGAGTCATGAGTTAATGAGATAATTATTTTCTGTGGTAATAAACATTATGTCACAAATACCTATCAATCAACTTCTCTTGTACTGAACCCATAATATTCCTTTAAGTAGATCTGCAGGCTATCCGTCCCAATCCGACTTCGGACACCAACCCTTGGAAAACACAACGGACCGCACCGTGACATGATGAACTGACAGTGTTTTATGTTTGCTGAGACATTAATAACCCTGAATATTTGGCATTTTATGGTGTCTTTTATGTTTTTTATTTTTGGCTGTGCTACAGTGTAAACTGAAGTAACTTTTTGTCCCACAATGTTTTTATGTTTTGTGACAGGAGATGTGTAAAAGTTTGAACTATGTGATTTTTCTTTACTATTTCTCTGTTGTGGCTTTGTTTTATCTCTCACTCTCATGCTTGTTATTAATTTGTCTTGTTTGTTTCTAAACTTTGTGACGAAGCCGGTCAGAATAACACAAGGCGGCGCTCATAGAGGTCAAAAGGTCATCTGGGTTTGAAGGTTTGATTCTGTGGCAAAGAGAAAGAAACGCAGGGCAAGTCACACATGACTGGTATTTTTAGTGATCTCTGTTTGTCTCTGTCTCTCTCTCACCCTGCAGTAGGAATATGGGGAATAAGCCAGCTAACAGTCCTAAGGGTCAGCCGCCAGACGCCGACGGCCATTCCTCAGTGTCTGACCTTGCCAACTCGCTCACTGGAGACATGGTGATGGTAGGACAGAGTGTTTGCATGTAGCTCCTGGTCCCAAATAGTCTCTCTTCCGGCCGCCATAAGAGTCTGAATCACATTGCAGTTCATTCGGCCCTCTCAGACAGGAAGAAGTCTGAACAGCATGTAAAGTAGCCAGGGGATTATTAATTAGGCAAAAATCCAAACCGATTTGCTGAAGGGCAGAGATTGATAAATAAGTGCTTTTTTAGCCTTTAAATACCCACGGAGTGTCTCAGAACTCTTAAGGCAAGACACTGCAGGGAAAAATATTTTTTAATGCAATAGTCAGTTTTGTATGTAATTTTGTTTCCACCACAGAATAAAAATGCAAAAAAAAAAAGTTGAAAATTGCAATCGTGAGTTTATATATTGCAATTCTGAGTTGCGAGTTTATATCTCGCAGTTCTGAGAAGAAAAAGTCAGAATTGTGATATAAACAGTTGCAATTACCTTTTTGATTTATTTATTCTGTGGTGGAAACAAAAACAAAAACAAAAATTCATTGCGAGATGTAAACTCTCAGTTGCGAGAAAAAAAGTCAGAATTACAAGACACTCCGAATTGTACGAAAAAATATCTCGTAATTCTTTTTTTTCTCAGAATTGCTTATATCTCAAAACTCAGAATTCTGAGAAAAAAGTCTGAATTCTGTTTTTATAACGTGTAATTCTGTTTTTTTTTCTTAGTATTTTACATATTTCATTTTTTTAATCTGTGGCAGAAACTGATATTGGGCTATTTAACATTTTGTTTTGTTTTAGGCTAGTGGAAAGAAAACATCCAAAATAGACTTTCAAGCGTTTTATTGTGCTGTATCTATTTGCATCTCCTGAAGATTTTTGCAGAGGGGTTTGTTCATATATCATTTGCCTGATTTAAACAACATTTTATTCCTAAAAACATTCAACTATTTTTTTTCTGTCTGTTGACAGTATTTTCTGATTGATGGAGTGATAAAAATAGATATGCAAATCCATAATAATGCATTCATTTACATATTTAAAACTAAAATTTCAGAAAACTTGTACTACAAAAGATATGTGCAATTCTCAGTTTAATCTATCAACTGGGGAAGTATAGTAATATATGTTATTCACCTGTTGTGTCTGTGTGTGTGTCTGCGTGTGTCTGTGTGTGTGTGTGTCTGTGTCTGTGACTGTCTGTGTCTGTGTGCGTGTGTCTGTGTGTGTGTGTCTGTGTCTGTGTTTGTGTTTCTCGATCAATAATAACAGCAGGAGTCTCTGAATTGTTAATAATCATTCATTCATCATTCATTCATCATTCATTCAATAAGAAAACAGCAAATGTCAGGTTTTGAAAACTCCAGATGTTTTCTAGCAGATCTGTGGTTAGGCTGAGGTGTTTGTGCTTGATTTTTTGTAACAGCGCCGTTCTTCACGTTCCTCTTTCTCTCTGACACTCTCTTTAGTTGTCTCCGGGGTCTGAAGACGACGACCACGAGGGCCCAGTGAGCGAGAAACTGGGAATATGATATTTTTTTCTAATATAATGAATTAACATAATAATAATAATTATTATTATTAATTTAAAATAAATGATAATTAATATTTTATTACTATATTACTTAAATTGCTAAAACAATTTAAATGATATATTATTTCTTACATAATAAATAAAATTTATAAAAAATTAAAAAAAATTAAGTATTTATTTCTTATATAATAAATAATAATATTAATTATTATTATTATTATTTAAAATATTTGCATTCCTAT